GAGACCTCCCCACCTCAAGGGCCCAGCCCAAGCAGCCGACCTCCACTACCCAATCACTGCCACACTCCAGGCTGTTTTCCGGACCGTGTGGCTGCTTCACGTCAGCACGACACATTATAAGACACCTCCTACCCAGTTTTTCAAACTAACTACACTATATCTGATGGGGTTCAGAGAGTAGGTAACAAATCATAGAGAGAAATATATAAATATATGCCTCTCGGTGAGACCAGCAAGCTACCGAGAGTATCCCGCCCACACAGACAGAGCTTGGCAAGCTCCTCATGACATATTTAATGTGCCAAGTACAAACGTAAAGGCAACAGGGCTCTTTCCCCTGACCCTGAAAGAGCTTATAATCATTGGGAAAAGATGAGTAAGGAGAGACTGCTAAATCTCCGGGCTGGTAGAAATAGAAACATTACTGGCACCTGCTCAAGTAATTCGACGATCAATGAGATGACAGTGATACAGTGACAGTGATAGAGTAATTATCCTCATGAATGTAGGTTAACTTGGCTTTATTGATCAAATTTAAAATTACACAAATTTTGAGAATTGCACCATTAGATACACTGGAGAGATTGTATGATATGCTTTAAGGTGCTTGATTTGTATATGGATGACACTTTTTTCTTTCTGTAGCACTGCGTGTTTCCTTGGGCACTGCTAGGAGTAATCACTGAACACCGAGTCAATAGTTATACCTGAGCAAAGCTGGGTGTGGCCCAACTCCACTCCTTAGAAAACAACAAAATTAAACAATATCCCATATTATAATGTTTGACATAGAGTGGATAGAGCACTGTGGTTGAACATGGGTAAATCCTTGAGATCCCCTATGCTTTCTTGGGCACTGCTATTATTGATCTGTGCTCAGGTGAGCAAAGAGTCAGGTATAGCCCTGAGCAAGCCACATGTGATTCAAAGACTTCAAAATGTTTTATTCTGATATTTTTAATAAGTTGGACCATATCCACTCAATAACCAAGCTCATTGAGGATTCTTGGGAGTTCAAGATGCCGCTCTGTTTAACGTTCATTTATTTAAAGAAGGCCTTTGATTTTGTTGAGACTGAAGCAGTCATCAAAGCCCTAGTCAAACAGGGTGTTCAAACTTAATATATCGGAATCCTCCGAGAGCTGTATTGAGGATTCACTTCCAGGATCTAACCATTCTACAAGAAAGTGATCACTGACATCAAGAGAGGGGTTCAGCAGTGTGATACCATATCACCGAAACTCTTCAGTGCCACCTTGACAATATCATGCGATGCCTGGAATGGGAAGAAATCCGAGTGAAGATAGATGCTTGGCAACTACACCACCTCCGCTTTGCTGATGACATCGTTTTAATAACAACAAATATTAGCCAAGTGGCACAAATACTTGCCGACTTCGACCATGAGTGTGGAAAGGTCGGGCTACAGCTGAATCTCACAAAGGCAATGTTTATGAGAAACAGTCTCATTCCTGATGTTCCACTAGCTCTCAAAGGAATAGACATCTCCAAATTGAACAGTTACGTGTACCTAGGTAGAGAAGTCAACATGACAAATGACCTGTTACCTGAGTTGCGCAGGAGGAAGAGAGGGGCTTGGAATGCTTTCAAGAACGTTGAAAATAGCTAGGAGGATGAAGAACCTCTGGCTCTGGGCATATCTATTTGATTCCACTGTTCTTCCTGCATTAACATACGCCTCAGAAACCTGGGCCCTAGGAAAACAGGATGAGAACGCTATTCGGGTCTCTCAAAGAGGAATCTAAAGAGCTATGCTTGGAGTACACACTTCACTGAAATGAGAGAAAGAATCCGGAGTTCCGACGTCCATCGATGGACAAGAATCAGGGTTTGCTGTCTTGTTTGCCAAGGCATCGAAAATCAGATGGGCTGGACACGTATGAGATTTGGAGACACCATTACCAACTGGATTCCACGGGACATCTAAAGATCATGTGGCAGCCCTCTGACCAGATGGTTAGATTTCTTTGTCAAGACCCTGAATGATCGGTTCGAGGCTCTGCATATTCCTAGAATGAGCAGATGCCATTGGGCTATGCTAGCACGCAACAGGGATGAATGGAGACGTTACTGGCACTCACTCGAGTAAATCAATGAGAAACGGGGTATCAAGTGATCAAGTGATATAATAATTTAATCATTTATCCCATTGACTGCACTTATTTTCAGAAATTGACTGTATTGTTTGGTTTCACTCCCAGTTGGATCTTTGGGTACAGAATCAAGAAAATTACAAAAGTGACATTTCCCCATTGAAAGTATATAATTAGCAATTATATTATCTCTCTTGGAAAATATGATGACTCTGGTGTGAAGGATTACTTTTGCATTAACAAATTAAAGAAATGGAAAGAAACATTATTTTTTATATTAATTGAGTTAGAAGCCAGGTGTTTTGTAATTTTTACTACATATTTCTATATTGCATATATTTTAAATATCATGTGAAGATATATTGAAGGTGTTGGAAACTTTGCAAAAGCAAGAAGTATACATTATCATTTTACAACTGATAATTTACATATTTTTAAATACTTCAATTATTACTAATATATAACTGTATCTTCTCCCACTCGAGCAAATCAATGATTAATGGGATAACAAGTGATACAAGTGATACAAGTGATAAATCTAACTTGAGAGTACTAAATATCTATTAAGCAAGTATCTATCATTTTGTTTGATATTTTCTGGAAAAACATAGATGTGCATCATTAAAAATATGCATAAGTGCCTTAGAATTCCACTATCTTGCACAATGTAAATTTAAGACAATGATTAAGAGAATCAAAACCAAGTATGTCTACTATTTTATTTATTGTTTGTATTGAACTGCATTCAATGGTGAACAAGTACGTGTAGTCCTGACTATCCAGGATCATGTCTGGTGATGCTCAAGGGGTTGAATTGGTGCTGACTCTGCAAAGACATGAATATTACTCCTTTTTCTATCTCTATAGGCTCTTTAATGTTTACTTTATGAATAATCATTATAAACTACTTTATAGCATATGTCTTAAGGGCCATAAACTTGTTAAATATACTAAATTTTGTTCCCACTACCATATTCATTACACATAAAATTTGACAATCAGAAGCTGAACAAATGCTGAGTGCCAGTCACCAAAGAACATACTTGCTCTACGACTATCATTTAAAAATATATGTTTACTTGGCTTGGAGGCCAGCCACACATGCTAGGGGAAACGGCAGCTCAGATAGAGAAGGGAACACCAAATAAAGGGTGTTGGGAGGATCCACCCAGGATGGCAGATGCATGCTGAAAGTAGACTATTGACCAAACATGATTGTCACTCAATGCCTCTTTTGTAAACCACAGCACCCAAAAGGAGAGAGAGAACAAAAGGGAGTTCCCTGTCACAGTGGCAGGGTGGATGGGGGGTGGGGGGTGAGAGGGATACTGGGATCCTTGGTGGTGGAGAATGGGCCCTGGTGGAGGGATGGGTACTTGATCATTGTAATACTGAAAACCAAGCACAAAAATTTGTAAGGCTACAACTGTACCTCATGGTATTTCACTAATAAAAATTTTTAAAAAGTAATAAAATAAATATGTATGCTTAGAACTTTTTTGCCATATTATAGAATTCTATAAAATTGTTAATTTTTTAATTAATCAAAGAAAAAATCCAAATAGCTGCTGAATGTACAACAGAAGTTGTACTTAGGGCCTTATTGTCATTCTTTAGTCAATAAACTACAAAACTGTTTTAGCCATACAAAATATCAAAATTATTACAGATATCTCTTAGTTGTTTGAGTTGATGACACTATGCAACTTAGACAATCCTCTAGAGAAGTTCATATATTTTTGTCAAACTATAAGGAGGCTTTCTTGTTTGTATGTTTTGGGGTCACATCTCAATGTTTCCCAGTCTTATTCCTGGATCAGAGTTTAGAGATCACGCCTAGCTGTGCATCGATAACATACAGAGTGCTGGTACCAAACCCGGGTCTACTATGCAAGGCAGTTGCCCTCCCAGCTGTCCTATTGCTCTAGCCTTGAACTAGAAGGATATGGTAGGAGAAAACAAATGTCTCTGATGGCACGACAGAAATTCTGAAATTAAAGATGCTGTAAGAATAAAATAAAATTAAAAGTTAAGCTGTATAATAACATAATGTCGATTTTAAGTGACCACAGAAAAAGTGATCAAGGTATAGATTACAGAACCAAGAAGCCTACATCTCCCTAAGTACTATCATTTGGATTAACTCATGGATTTCTTGAACTCTGCTTGGGTAGCACAGGCAAACAAAATAAAATAAACAAAAGTTAAAAGAGCAATAAAAGTTAAAAGGTAATATAAGATAAAGTAATTGGCTACATTATAACCAAAAACTTTCCCCCACAAGCACTATCAGATAATTACTTTTTCTTAGAGAACATAATAACATCTCAAGATGAAAAAGGTAGTTAGTTCGTGGTCATGTAAATAAAACATTCCTACAAAGTAAAAATTTTTGACAGAGATTATAGAAATAAGAGCTTATTTCTAAATCATTTTTGAAAGTTAAAATTTATTCACTTTTTCTAATTATAGACATTTGCTCAGGACCGTTTACTACTTTACTATTCATTTAGTACGTAAAGATAACAAATAGATAAGAACTAGTTATAAAGGTCATTTGCATAGACATCTGGGAGATTATCATTTATTAATAAAATAATGTGCATTTAGATATTTTTGCTTTTCAAAATCAGAGAAGTTAGACTATATGGAGAAGAATGACTTAATCGCTACTGGTATAAAATGTATGATGATTACAAGGGACAAAATATGTAAGACTTGAATTTCCTGCATGTTTAATTTAACATGTTCTTAAATTATTATGAGAAGTACATTTTTTCTAGTTTAATTTTTTTTAGAAGGAAGCACACCAGAGGTACTCAGGCCTTACTGCTTACTCTATCCTAAACAAAATACCCTGATTCAGCCAAGTGAAAGAAAAGTTCCTCAACCCTGGTGATAGCTCTGTGGCCCCATGAATAGTAATTGTTTTACAAAGTCATTCAAAGCTTTTTTCACTTGTTTGTTTCTTAGAGTATAAATAAGTGGGTTTAACAGGGGGATGGTGGAAACTGCGAATACTGTTATTACCTTATTAGTAGCCATTTCATCTTTTGCAGAAGGTTTGATATAGATGAAGATACAGCTGCCGTAAGTGATGGAAACCACAATCATGTGGGAGGAACAGGTAGAAAAGGCCTTTTTCTTTTGCTGAGCAGAGGGGAACCCAAGAATCGTGCGAATGATACTTCCATAGGACCAAACCACAAACGTGAGAGTCACTAGTAGGATAAATGAAGAGCAGAAAAGAACCATCTTCTCTATGAATTCTGTGTCCAAACATGAGATCTTCAGGAGAGGATTAGAATCACAAATAAAGTGATCAATTTCAGAGTCACAAAACTCCATTGTCAGCGCATAGCCAAGTGGTGGTATCATGAGCAACAAAGTAACTATCCAACAGCCAGAGACAAGTTTTTTGCAGACAATGGGATTCATGATAGAAGAATAATGAAGGGGTTTGCAGATGGCGACATAACGATCATAGGACATAGTTGCTAGAAGGAAAAATTCCACTATTCCAAATAGGTCTATAAAAAATACCTGACATATACAAGAGTTATAAGTAATGGTTCTATCTCCTGTTGCTATACTATACAAATATCTAGGGATACAGGCAGAAGTGAATGAGATTTCTAAGAAAGAAAGGTTTTGCAGAAAATAGTACATGGCAGTTTTAAGGTGAGTGTCCACAAAGGTGAGAATAATGATGATGAGATTTCCAACAAGGCTGAACATGTAGGTGACAAGTAGCATTATAAAAATGAAAGTATTTATCTGTATATCATCTGTCAATCCAAGAAGGATGAATGTGGTTACTGGTGTGTGATTTCTCATTCCAGTCTTATATCTTGATCTATGTGTAAAACTGAAAGAGATGAGAGTAAGATAAAGAAAAGAATGGTACTTTCACTTGTATTTAAGTTAGAAATGTCAATATATATATATATATATATTCTTTGACTTCACTAGTTTTGAGTTTTACGTACTGTGGGATAGTTTTTGATGTTTTATGGGTTTAAAACTAACTTTTGAAATTATTAACTTAAATTTATTGATGAGAAATATTTGCATGATAATGTAATTAGTTATATGTATATGCTTACATTTGCATATATTATCAAGAATTACTTGGGGAAACTGAAGAGATATTCTAGCAGGTAAGGTTTTACCTTTCATGTAGCCAACTCACTTTTGCTCCACAGTGCCACATGTGGTTCTTTGGCCCTGTCTGTTTTGATCAGCAGAATTTTATTGTTTTTGAAGAAATTTTTGTAGATGACTCATAAACTGCCAGTGTTTAGTACAAGATATTTGTTCATCCATATCTTATACAATAGAAAAACATTTTCCATTACAAATAATCTATACATATCATACCTCTATATCCTATAATCATCTCTAGATAATTTCTATGGATCACTGGAATGATCAAATACTGTGTTTTAGTTTCATTATCCCATCATTTCATTTCTTATATATAAAATAGAGAGTATAACTTATATTATGATATGCAGGAGAAGGCTTATCTTGGAGGGGGCGGGTTGAGCTTTCCCCCCTTGGAGGGGGGCAGGTTGAGCTTCTCTCCCCTCCCGGAGCAGATCTCCAACAGCCAAAGACCTCCAGAACCAGCCACAACCATGCTGAGACCACTCCCCACACGCATGAAGGTACCAGCAGAGGAAAAAAGGCATGCGGGTCCCGGGACTGAGATCTCCAAGCCTGCTCAGATAGGGGCTGAGCATCCTCCACCCAGATCCTCCATCTTCCAGTAGGCAGGGGTCACACCCACCAATTGACCCCTGGCACCATGTAATCCCATTAGTGGCCAAGACGCAGAGACTATAAAACCCAGCTCCCGCAAGCGGGCGGCCTCATTTGCAGCCACATGACATCTTATTATCTCACTCTTACATTGGACAACCTGGCAGGCTACCAAATGTAACCTGCCCACATGGCAGAGTCTGGCAAACTCCCCGTGGCGTACCCAATATGCAAAATACCAGTAACAATGATGGGTCTCATTCTCCTAACCCTGAAAGAGCCTTAAATATGGCACTTTTTAAAATCTCAGGGCTAGGATGAAGGAGACGTTTCCGGTGCCTGCTCGAGGCAATTGATGAATAACAGGATAATCCTGATGATGATGCAGGAGAAAACACTGATTATGTAGACAGCTGAATATCTTACACTCACTTTTTAATGATTCATTTCTTATTTGTCTAAGTAAAACATATTCAGTCTTCTCTTAAGTCACTGACAGCATATTTACTCTAGGTGACTAAAGGTAAAGGTAAAGCCCCCCCCCCCCCCCCCCGTTGTTTGTCGATTTGCTCGAGCAGGCCCAGTAACGTCTCCATTGGAGACTTTGTTGTTACTGTGTTTGGCATATTGAATACATCATGGGGAGCTTGCCAGGCTCTGCCATGTGGACGAGATACTCTCAGTAGCTTGCTGGGCTCTCCGAGAGGGGCGGAGGAATCGAACTCGGGTCGGCCATGTTGGCTGCGTGCAAGGCAAACGCCCTACTGCTGTGCTATAGCTCCAGGATGGCCGAGTGGTCTAAGGCGCCAGACTCAAGGTCCTAGGGGACTAAAATATTATCTAATTTCAATGTAAAATAACCCATGGTTTTCTTGTTTCTAATTTCCAGATTAGTCCTCCACTGTCTATGACATAGCTTCTAGAAAACCAAAGCAATAAAATAATGTGTGTGAAACCTTTTGGTTCTAATTTAAACCATCAGTTCCACAAGTCATGCTGACTCCTAGATTTCTAAGATGTTGATAGGGGAATATTCTATTGTTATTGCTTTTGTAGGTACTATCTTTATGGTTAAAATGAATGTTAGTCCCTTTATTCTATCTTTCCCTTGAATTTGACATTTTCCACTATATTTCATGATAGTTTATATTTTTTGCTTGCATCATATCCACATTTAGTCTTATTTTTTGTTTTTTTTTTAAGTTTTTGTTTCATTTTTGTACCTGAATTTCCGTCTACCTACTGACTTTCTTTGTATTTGTGCCACTTCATATTTTACATAAATTCTACATGGTCATTAGAAAATACCACCTCAAAATGTAAAGATATCCCCTGCTCATGGGTCGGGAGACTTAACATTGTCAAAATGGCAATACTACTGAAAGCATGGTATAAATTCAATGCAATCCCTATAAGGATACCCATGACATTCTTCAAAGAAATGGAGCAAACCCTACTGAAATTTATATGGAACAATAAGCCCCCACGAATATCTAAAGCAATTCTTGGGAAAAAGAAAATGGGAGGAATCAACCTCCCGAACTTCAAACTGTACTACAAAGCAGTAATAATTAAAACAGCATGGTACTGGAACAAAGGCAGAACTGCATACCAATAGAACACTGACATCTCCCCTCAATCACAGGATCATCTAGTCTTTGATAAAGGTGCAAGTAATGTGAAGTGAAGTAAGGAAAGTCTCTTTAACAAACTGTGCTGGCATCACTGGATGGCTACATGCAAAAAAGTGGGCTCAGAACTCTGCCTAACACCCTGTACAAAAGTAAGATCAAAATGGATTAAAAACCTCAACATCAGACCAGAAACCATAAGGTACATTGAAGACAAAGTGGGCAAAACCCTCCATGACATTGAAGCTAATGGTATCTTCAAAGATGCCACGCCACTGGCCGAGCAAGTGAAAACAGAGATAGATAAATGGGACTATCTTAAACTAAGAAGCTTCTGCACCTCCAAAGAAACAGTGATCAAAATACAAAGACAGTCTACAGAATGGGACAGGATATTCGCCAAACACGCATCTGACAAGGGGTTGATATCAAGGATATACAAAATACTGGTTGAACTCCACAAGAAGAAAACATCCAACCCCATCAAAAATGGGGCAATAAAATGAACAGAAACTTTCTCAAAGAAGAAATCCAAATGGCAAAAAAGCACATGAGAAAATGCTCTATATCATTAATTATCAGGGAGATGCAGATCAAAACCACAATGAGATACCATCTCACACCTCAGAGACTGGCCCACATTCAGAAAAACAAAAGCAACCGATTCTGACACAGATGTGGCGAGAAAGGGACACTCTTTCGCTGTTGGTGGGAATGTCGACTGATTCAGCCTTTCTGGAAAACAGTAGGGACGATTCTCAAAAAATTAGAAATTGAGCTCCCATTTGACCCAGCAATACCACTCCTGGGAATGTATCCCAGAGAGGCAAAAATGTATAGTCGAAGTGATATCTGCACTTCTTTGTTCATTGCAGCATTATTTACAATAGCCAGAAACTGGAAGAAACCTGAATGCCCAAGAACAGATGACTGGTTAAAGAAACTTTGGTACATCTACACAATGGAGTACTATGTAGCTGTTAGAAAAGATGAAGTCATGAAATTTATATACAAGAAGTACAACATGGAAAGTATCATGCTAAGCGAAATGAGTCAGAAAGCGAGGGATAGACATAGAAATATTGCATTCATCTGGGGAATATAAAGAAACAAAATATGAGATTAATACCCAAGAATAGCTGAGATCAACAACAGGAGGATTACTCCATAGCTTAGAGGCCAGCCGGGCATTCTAGGGGAAAGGGCAGCTCAGATAGAGAAGGGAGCACCAAATAAAGGGTGTTTGGAAGATCCTCCCAGGAGGGGAGATGCATGTTGAAAGTAAACTATGGACTGAACATGTTTGCCACTCAAAGCCTCTTTTGCAGACCACAACACCCAAAAGGAGAGAGAGAACACAGGTGATTGCCCTGCCACAGAGGCAGGGTGAGATGGGAGGGATGGGGGTGGGAGGGACATTATCCATGGTGGTGGAAAATGGGCACTGGTGGAGGGATGGGTATTTGATCATTGTATAATCGAAACCCAAGCACAAAAAAATTGTAAATCTACAACTGTACCTCATGGTGTTTCACTAAAAATAAAAAAGAAAAAAAAGAAAATGCCACCTCATTTACATCACTAATATTTCTTGTTTTATACACTTATTAGTATACTAAAATGAAATATCAATGCTATTGTTTTACATTCCTAATTGAAAGAAATAGAGCTGCTTTGTTATTTCTATCAGAATCTTATTGAAACTTTAGAATCAGATCTTTAGCTTGAATTTGTACTAAGAGTGGTGCTATTTTTGTTCTTCAGACAATGTCATTAATCATAATAACATGTATTCTAATGCCTTATTCTCCAATGTCCCAGACCATGAGATTTTCTCCATTAATAAATACTTCAATATTTTAAATATTTTAAACTATATATTGAAATGTCCCCTACCTTAGAATGTAAGAAGAAAATCTTCCAGAGTTTACAGTGACTTGGAAATAGGAGAGTTAATTCCATTTAGATGCCTTGGGAAACTGGAGCACTTTTACAAGACAGACAGCAGAACCTAGTTAATATCACATTAGAGAAATTGGAACCGTAAATTATGTATTCAAATCAACTCATACTTCAGAAGAGAGATATTGGTAGCTTAGTGGTAGAAGTGATGTGGAAACATTATATTACTACACTGTAGCACTATCCTACCATTGTTCATCTATTTGCTCGAGTGGGCCCAGTAAAGTCTCCACTGTGAGACTTGTTGTTTCTGTATTTGACATATCAAATACGTCATGGATAGCTTGCCAGGCTTTGCCATGCTGGCTCGATACTCTCAGTGGCTTGCTGGGCTCTCCGAGAGGGGCAGAGGAATCGAACCCAGCTCGGCTGGGCCGGCCA